CGTGCGCACATTTATTCTATGAATCACATGTACGCATATTTGAGAGATGAACGTAAGATCACATTTAGGATGGTTTCTGCGCAACATTTCATTTAATTGAAGCCCACTGTGTTTTGTTGTACTTTGTAATAGTAAAGTCTCCAAAAAGGACAATCGTGCATCTTATTTTGGTTCCATTGAAGAAACAACAACATTACATTTGCATGTTAATTGTATAATAAATAAAAATAAAACAAATAGAATACAAAAATGTTAGAAGGCTAGTTTTTTCATTTATTTATTCATTTATTTTTAAGAAAACAAGCAGTTAGTACATGAATAGAGTGCAAGTCTAAAAGGGACAAGTAGCAAATAATGATATAATTTTTGGTGACTGGGTGACTACTACCACAAAGCTGTTACAGAAAGGTATTTTCTTCTGGCTGAGACACTATGAGAGCTAACAGAACTATATGGTAAAGCTTTTTGCAAACCTTAGTTCCAACCCTATTCAAACACTTCTGAACAAGCTGGCAACAAGCTAATCGTTTACTTGCAAATTATAGACAGGTGTGTTTAATTAGGGTTGAAACTAAAGTCTACAGGATGTCGGTCCTACAGGACTGGAGTTAAAGAGCCCAGATGTGTCCATAACCTGCTTCTGGAGGACCAACAACTTGCAGAGTTTAACTCCAACCTGCCTTAACGTTTCTAGTATCCCTTTGTAACAGAGGCTAGCTAGTAAGAGCTGTAGAGATAAACCTTGCTACCCTGATCTCAGGTGGCACACTAGAGACTGTGTCCTTGTTAGCACACCCACCTACCATGCCAGAAACGCCAGTTGCAATCCTGGTTGGGGCAAGTCAAGTAGAATTGGAAGGGTTACACCTGGACTGGGTGTTTCAGGTGTGTTTATTTAATGTTCGAGCTTAACTTGGCAGGACAGTGATTCATCCAGGAGCAGGATTGGACATTTTTCCTCCACCATCATCTATAGCAGTACATCCCAATCCAGTCCTGGGGACCCCCACTACATTAGCGTTTGGAATTTCTCTGTCTTGCAGTCCCAACATTTCGGGAATTCTGTCTTGCAGTCACTACTAATCAGCTAATGATTTGAACCAGGTGTGTTACATGAAGGAGACATTCAAAATGTAAAGTGGTGGGTGGTCTCCAGGACAGGTTTGAGAAGCACTGTTCTACGGGAGTTATCTTCAACACATGCTTTAATACTGATAGCATTACCACATTCTATCAGGCTTGGGTTACCCCAACAGCCCTATAGCAGTTGAAAACTATATACCAGTCTCTCTCCATTTCTTTCACATAACAACCTTCTCGATAACAACCAGTAAGCTTTCAAAAGCAGACATTCTTCAAATAATACTGTGTTACTGAATGTGAATCCAATTGTTTGTCCTCACTAGACCTGTCTTCAAAACCATTCACCACATGGATTCACCAGGTCCTCCTGTCTACTTTCTCCAGGCATGACAAAAATTAAACTTCAGTCGTTCCATGCGAATGCCTCACGGGCAGATCTGTTGAGTTTTCCTGGAGAGGTGTCCAAGTCACATTAGTGAAGGAGTAGGAAGCCTAGGTTCAATGCTTGGTCCCAATCATAAAGGCACACAGCCATTCCTGCCACAGCAACATCAGCTCTAGTAGTCTTGGCCTGGATTACAGATTGTCTCATTCAAAAAGCCAAGTGTCTCTGGATGGCAGGTTCTTCCCTTTTGGAATACCTGCAATCCTTGTTGTGTCACATGCAGTACATAGACGTAAGGGGCAGCAGTATAAGCTAAGAAGATGTACAAGCCTCTTATCTCACAGACCACCTTGGGTATAAGTCAAGTGCTCCCAGACCACACTAAGAAATGTGTAAAGTACTGGTTATGCAATATAACTCTCTTAGTAATTGTACCCTTCACATCAAATGCCAAAATACTCACTTAAAATCTCTGTAAACCTAAAATATGGGTCACCATGATTTAATACACCCTGAGAGCTTGCTGCAATGGCAAGTCTGGGAGTCCGATCTGGCTCCATTTTCTCCTGAGTATGATTTGTGTGATGACCCTTAAACATCTTATGACATCACCAAATATGACAGACCTGCCCACCACAGCCATTCTAAGAGAAGAAGAAAAAAAGTATAGTTGCCAGGCATACACTGTGAATACCGAATCTAACTGTACGAGTGAATCACATGAGCTGTAAAGACAATGTCTTCAAGATTACTAGAAAACTACATGCAGGTGTGTTTGATTACGGTTGGAACTAAACTCTGCAGTATAGTGGCCCTCCAGTACCAAAGTTGCCCAGCCCTGATCTAGAGCAATATATCTAAACCCCTTTCTCTTTCATTGTGATTAATTATCTTGTCTCTTGCAACCAGGGTTGTGCAAATTTCTGTTTGTTTTTTTACCCACAATAGTTGGACATACATTGAGAATGCACTTGTTACTGATTGGCATTTGTAAAAAAAAAAAAAGAGAATCAGATTATGATGGGGAAATGGAGTCAGTTTAAGCTGACTGAAATGTTTGGTTGTACTTAATGTGATGTTATCTTCCTCCATACAATAATAAAAAAAAAGTGTTTCAACTTTTCTTCTTCACAGTACAATTTTTGAACTGCAGAAAATAATGACGTTGATTATTGCTGTTTCCCAACCCTGTTCCTGGAGGCACACTCACAGTACACATTTTCAAACTCTTCCCAGTCAGACAGGGCAGACATCCAAAATGTGTACTGTTGATGTGCCAGATCATTACGCACCCGCATTACTGAACATCGGAATAATATTAGGACGGGAGTTGAACGCAGTCCTATAGCATCTCATTTTAACAAAAAAAAGTTGAGCGGAAACTTTTACAAAGGGAGTGTCTAAATACGTTGTCACCTTTTGGGTTGAATGAAGAATTTGATATTAAGCCTTTTCTATAGGATTGTGTGTATTTTTTTATCTATTTTCAGAATTGTTTGAATATGTTTGAGTGATTATTGATCTGTATTGATTTGTATTTGACCTGTATTGATTTGTATGTTTATTCAAGTTTAAGATTTGTATTTGACCTGTATTGATTTGTGTTTATTCAAGTTTAATGTACCTGCATAGTGATTGAACGTGTCTAATTAGAATGACCACCTGTTACTTATAAAGAGTTGTACCTCAGTTCATGTAATTTGTGCCTGACGAAGACCTGATGATTGAAACGTTGGAATAAATTATTTTTATAGAGCAGTTATATCAGTGTGCGGACAATACGTTTGTATTTTTGTTATAGTTTGACATTTTTTGTCCAGCACCTGAGCCCTGTGTGGGTTTGTGGGATGTGCGCAACTTTTTTATACTTGGGTTACTGTTGATGTGCCCCCAGGAACAGAGTAAGGGTTGTATGACATTTCATATGCATGGAAATTTTAGGGAAAAGGGGCCAGGGCCAGTGCCCATGTCCGTGTAAAGAACTCTGTGACTCAAGATCTAGGACCTACTTACTGTATTTTAAAGGAGGAATCAAAGAAAAATGTTGGGTCAATTTATTTTTAGGCCTATTTAACAATTAATGCAGAGGTTGCTAATACAGCTCCTGGAGGGCAACCCTCCTGCAGCGTTCAGCTCCAACCCTAATTAAACACACTTGAAGCAGCTAATCAGGAAGTTCAGGATTAATTGAAAATAACAGGCAGATGTGTTGTAGCATTTTGGAACTGAAGTCTGCAGGAATGTAGACCTCCAGGAGAAAGGTTGGCTACCCCTGGTTCAGAGGTTCCCAGCCATTAGGGGTGTAACAATTCACTTGTTTTCTCGATTAATCGATTACGAACCCTGACGATGCAATGCATCGATCTTGAAACATGGATTTTTGAATTGCGAATTGTCGATTTTGGACAGTAATCTATTTAAAAGGCTAAGAATCGAATGAATCGCAATTTCTATAGTGATTCAATGCTTTCAAAATATATACAATACATTAAATATAAATATATATAAAATTATAAAAACTACAACCAATAATTAATGGAGACCTTGAACAGTGTTCGTGCCTCACATCTCTCCTTCACGTGCTCCACTATTTACCGCCTGTGACTGTAACAAGATTGTGATCGCGCTCCGTTCGTCTCACTGACACATTTTTGGAGCAGCTGATGTGTGATCTCTCCTTAGTAAGAGAATGAATGTGAATGCAAAAAGAATTGAATCAAACCAAATTCAATTGTGAATTGAATCGTTGTGAATTTGAAAAAATCGTTCTTGAATCGAAAACCTATGAATCGTGAATCAAATCAATTCGCTGTCTACCCAAAGATTCACAGCCCTACCAGCCATGTTACCGGAGCTCCCCAACACTGCACATTTTTTTAAGTATCCTTTGCTTGACACACCCATTTCACTTGAAGTCTCTACTAATGAGCAGATGACCTGTAACAGGTGTGTTTGATTAAGGAGGCTAAATGTGCACTGTTTGGGGGACTCTATGAAAGTGGGTTGGAACCACTGTCCTGATTTATTGCCTCTGTAGATACAGTATTGATCTGTAGGTTTGGGGTTCTTAACTCTGGTCCTCAAGGTCCACTTTCCTGCAGAGTTTAGCTCCAACCCTAATCAAACACAACTGAACAAGCTAATCAAGGCCTTCAGGATTACTTGAAAGTTACAGGCAGGTGAGTTTGATCAAGGTTGGAGCTAAACTCTGCAAGAAGGTGGACCCTTGAGGGCCAGAGTTGAGAACCCCTGTTGTAGGCCTTCTGAATTTCTGTTTGCTATATCAGAGGTGGGTGCTGAATCACAGGTTAATCATACTGTATGATCATACCTTGTTCATACAGTATGAATAAACTCAAATTTTCACATATCCAGAACCCACTGGTGCAATATCTGATATTCGACACAGAGCATTTCACAGCAGGGACTTAAATACACAAACCCAATGAAATAATTGTTTAATTTCTCTGTTTATATTGTCATGGAGGATTCCCATCATTCCCTTCTCCTCGACCCCTCACCTCAGTCTTACCTTTCTGGTACTGGAGCCAGAGCTGTTGCTGGGACTTCTTGCTGGGAAAGTAGATGTTGCAGGTGAGTTCAGAACCATACAGCGCCTCAGAGATGTAATGACTGCCGTACTGATGAATAAATGCAAGCAACTCATCCCTTGTGCAGTCCGCCGTCAGGGATTTCAGCACCTTTGAGAAATCTGACCAAAGCACCACACCACATACAGAAGCAATTACTTTTCTATGTTGAGAATTTTTTATTTCATTATTGTCAAATATTTCTTGCTTGTCACCAAACCTTTTAAGAGGCCAGTGAAACTTTATTACACCTACATTTCCAGTACTCTGACAGTGATATAGTGCCTTCTCCCTGTTTTAGTGGCAAGGTTCCAGAAGTATTTTCCCATTAATTTTTCATGAAAATCTAGCCACTTTTTTTATTTTCTTTTTTTTTTATGTGAAAGTGGGCACGGCCATTTTTATCTTGAATGTGCAAAGCTTCCAGTATCAACTGCCTCCAGTTATTTTAGCTGTACAAAACCAGACTACATTATTGCTTGTTGTTATTATTGTTATATTGCTTGCTGTTGGAAACTTTTTTTATTTTTTTATTGCGTAATTAATCACACACCCACACACCTTGTAGCACAAATAGCATTATTCTTCTAGTTATTTACCTATAGCAACTAATGAAACAAAACTCTCACACGTTCATAGAAAATAGTTCCCTGTTGAAAAATAAGATGGATAAGACATGAACTAGGTAACTTTGTTTTAAATCAATTATAAAATGAATGGGATTTTGACTTCTGTAACCTACCTGTTGTGCTTACCAAAATTAAAAGCCTTAAAAGCATATTTACCAAAACAAATGAATATTACATTTATTCATTCCCATGTTGTTCCAAACCTGTATGACTTTATTTATTTCTTAATATATTTGAAAAATGTCCCTTTTTCCATTCTTTGTCCCATTGACTTTCAAAATATGCTACTAGTGCCTTTTCTTTCTTTCTATTTATTTTATTATTATTTCTGACCAGTTCTCCTTCCCTATATTGTGACTTTTCATCAGCCAAGTATGAGAAAAATCTATTTCTTTATTGGACCTTTACAGTAACTTGTATTAAAAGTTAAGACGGTGGCATTTTTTATTTATTTTTTCCTTTTGCCAATACCGGTAAATAATTTTATAAATAAAGTAATGAATCAATTAATGAATTGTATACAAATTATATATCATTTTTAGTACAAAAACTAGCTAACCCCTTTAAAGCTGGACCTCATTGAATTATTGACCACATATAGTACGTCAGTTTTCCTGCCATACAAAATGTGTATCACAAAACAAAATGTGTGAACATTCTGTCAAATCTGTTACATAAAAGAAAAAGAAAAAAACATATGGGTTTGGAAAGACATGAGGGTGAATACAAATGTTTCACTTTTTGAGTGAATTAACCCTTAAATGTAATTTTGTTTTGAAATATAAATGTGCTGAACACACATACATGAAGGAGTATTCATGGGTTTGTTTGTGTGTTTCTCATGGTACCTGTGGACAGGGTGATGGCACTGAGCTTCACTCTATACAGGTTACTCCGCACTCTCCACTGTTGCATCATGGGGTATCCTGTGGCTTCACTGAACTGAGCGTCTCCTGTAACACAGACACACACATCAATGCCCTACTTCTGCAACTTTATTAATAGCTACATTTCAGACATTAACAGCTTCCCATGAGACACAAAGTGGTCTTACTCAAGGAGATGCTTATTGGCCTGAACAACTGAATTCTCCACTGAGCCCTTTTTGGGAAAATTAAGTATTCTTGATTGCACTGAATGTGCACTTGTAGTGTACTTCAAATATTAAAAGTATATTTAAAAATGTACTTGTGGATAATATAATAATGAAATAAAAGGTAACTTAAGTGTATTTAAAGAGACGTTTTCATGACTGATTATTAACATACTTTAAAAAAATATATATAATGTCAAATTAAAAGTTATACATTTTAAATCATATTTTAATCCTCTTCTGTTGTGCTTTAAAGTGGTAAAAACTGTACATAAGATTATCAATAATTGTGCACCTTCATATTTGAATGCACTTTTCTTTAGGGTAAATGAGCAACATTGTTATAATACTAGGCAAATTCTTAAGGATATTACATTGTTGTTTTAAAACTATGTATGGTAGTAGTTCTTTTAAATATTCGGAGGCATAAGTGTGGAACAAGTTACCTCTGGATACTAAAGGTATTTCGAATATAGTTAGTTTTAGCTTAAAAGCTAAAAGTTGGCTCTTAAGTAGACAGTTTTGTTGATGAATGTGTATTATGTACGTTGTTGTTATTTGTGATTGTAAATTTGGAATTGTACTGGGTAACACTTTACTTGAAGGGGTGTGCATAAGACTGACATGACACCTTCATAATCATGACATGACACATGTCATGAATATGAAGGAGGTTTTATGCATGTTTCTGACAACTGTCATTAAGTGTCATTCGCTCAGTTATGTCATTTTTAATGCAAATATGACATTATTTGGCCTAACCCTACCCTAACCCTACCCCTACCCTTACCCCTAACCATAGCCCATAACAAAGACATCTCAAACAATGTCATCTTTGCATTAAAAATGACATAACTGAGCGAATGACACTTAATGACAATTGTCATAAATATGCATAAAAAACCTTCACATTCATGACCTGTATCATGTCATGATTATGTAGGTGTCATGTCATGATTATGAAGGTGTTATGTCAGTCTTATGCACACCCCTTCAAGTAAAGTGTAACCTTGTACTGTGATCTTTGTATTTATAATGCAATGCCAGTGTACCTGTTACCAGGAGTGGAGTTAGTGCTTAACATCAAGGACCACAGTGGAAACATGCTTTTTAAACTTTGTGTTATCCTTGACAAATTGTGTATTCACTACTTGTCTGTCTATTAAAAGAGAAAAAAAAGAAAGTACACTTATTTTGTTGTGTTGACTAACACACTGCCATGTGTTATTTGACATTACATTTAAAGTTAATATATTTAAAATTTACTAAATTGCAACCATCACAAATTTGTAATCAGAAATTCTATACATTTAAATAGTTTAAAAACATGACATCCAAGTTTCATTACAAATGACATTAAAGTATATTTTAGTTTACTTGCATTCAGCAAGGAAAACAGATGTAATAATCAAATTACATACAGTATAACATTATACTTAAGTCCTACATAAGTGGGTCCAAAAAAAACTTTACAGACCACTTTGGACCAATAGGTAACAACGCCTTTGGTGCCAAGCCCTGCCTGTTTTCAAAATCAAGTTCTGCTTATCCTATTTACAGGGGCGGACTTACCCATTAGGCAAAGGTAGGCGACCGCCTTGGGCCCCCAAAAGCTAAGGGCCCCCTAAAATGCTTTTCATATGCGCATTAAGCACGGACACGCGGATGTTTGCCGTTTACGGTGTTTATTACCACGACAACCGTCCGAGTCTGTGGCGGCTGCAGGTGTACGGCTGTACGCACTGCGAGTACCATGAGCGCTCAGACTGATCTGAGATTTGCCCCGCAAACATTTTGACTGAACCCATGCCGTTAATTATGAATTTATCCGTCTTTTGCATGCCAAAGTCAATTTCTGCATAGAAATATTACGCCAAATAGAAGCAGAAAATCGTGCTATACGCACTTTCATGAGATCGGGTGAGCCTACAACAATGAATTTGTTGGCTATTTTTCAAATGGGAATACAACAAATTCATGACAATGTTTACATTCAAGCTACCCATAAAATTTATAGTGAAAAGTACTTTAAAAGCGTATGGAATGCAATAGAGTAATTTTAAAGCTGTTAAAGTACTTTTATAATCGGGCCTTCCATCAATTATAGTGATGAAAAAATGACTCGCCATCTCCTAATTGGATGTGCCTTTAGAGAGAAATGCAGGGATTACATAATGAAAGAGTTTATTTTATTAGGAGTCTATTTTCGATTTGAATTATTTAGTTTCAAAGTAGTAATTTAAAGCTTTGTGAGTGCACACAAATAAAACCACAAATAAAATTAGACCCTTTACAGTTTAGAATGATGTATTACTCTTACCTTTATGAGCAAAAATGACTGCATATTTTTAGTTGTTTCCACTGTTAGAAAAATGCAAGCGATCGCGCTGGCGCCTCCATGTGCTGCAGAGCACGCTTCAGCTTCCACTCCTCCGCAAACGATTGGATATGCGTCTAACAGCGCACATTTATATAGGTTAAACATTTAAACTAACATTGTGATATACTTGAACTGTTTTATATATAGATTTTATTTTAGGCAAGTCCTGATGATTTGAGAAGGCTAAATTGATCAAGCATAGGCTATAGGCTATATGATCAATTCACTGTCTGCCGCTGGCCTTTACTTACATTTAACGAACAAAAAATACTCCAAATGTTTTTCTAAATTTACTTAATAAAAAAACGAAACAAAATATAATCACTTTTACATTACATACAAAACTGAACTATTTTAATAGCTGAAACAGTAGTATAAGCTTTTTTGGGGGGGAAAAGACGGGCTAAATCTGAGACCCGTGCAGGGCTTTAATCCACTTCATCCAACGCTGTTTAGTTCTCATCTGTGAGCATGCTCTTGATATATGTATTTTAGGTGTGTAAATGTATAATTGCCTTTTCATTATTTTTTTCAGTTTTATTTAAATTTGTAGTTAAAACAACTAAAAATAAATGTATTTTAAAGTTTAGAATTAGACAGCACACAGGCTTACGCTGAAAACAACCAAATGGAACCTCAAGGTTGAGCTAGGAAAATGTGTGCAAATGTATAGGGCCCCATTCCTATATTTTGCCTGGGGCCCCCAATTCACTAAATCCGCCCCTGCCTATTTATATGGTGTGAGATGACAGCAGCCCCCTCAAAACATCACATCAGCCATATCATGCGTCTTTCTTCTCATGCTGACAGATGCACTAATGGTTTAAATCTCATTTGAACTGCTGCAGCAAAAACTGAGAGCCGTAATCAGTGTTAACAACTCTCCACTCTCACTCCTGAAAAAAAGACAAGCTATTATTGAATTAGCCACTTGTCATTGAAGCCCAAATGTGTGTGGAGTCCACATTAGAAAAAACTGAGTGAAAACAAATAAATGAAAAGACAGCTCTGAATTGGAGCTGTGATCAAATGCGATATGAGGGAGAAATGAACGCTTTCTGCTCCGCTGGTTTCTCTGTCTCTGTGTCATTGAGACAGAGAGCGGCCGTCCACTGAGCTGATGCTACGATTACTGTCAGTTCCTCATGCCATGTTCTATTTTAAAGGGATTTATCATGAAAAGCAGGCTTTTTCTTGTTCTTTTGTACCCAGCAAAATTGTAAAGAATGAGAGAGAAGGACAAAATAAACCTTGCCCACGTCTCTCCCACCACTGTCACATCTGTGTTTCTGAGCTCTTTTCCAATCTTTTCTGTGCAAATCAGTGTTGAATAAATGACAACAAACCAGAAGCCGGGACTCAAACTGTCTATTTTAAGATTCATATAATTAATCACATACTTGAGGCTTGCTTGTATTTCAGAAAATCTAGACATACCTGTACCAACCCTGTCTGAATCAGTAGGCCTAATCCAATCACAAGGAGTCACAGACATCTTCTGTTAATAACTGCATCTCAAACGTTGTTTATAAAAACTAACTAGCTTCTAACATTATAAGTGGACCTAAGAGAAAAGACTGTGAAAGTGTAAATAAGAAGCCTTTAAAGCAAAAACCCTCAGAGGACAAGAGAAAATGAGATGACAGTTCACTAAAGGCACACCTTAAGGAAAATGTGCTTTTCATTATTTTCGTAGTGTATAATTAAAGGGTTTTAAAAATACTGAAAACATTTTTAAAAATGCATTCATACTGTATTTAAAAATCATGTGTATGAGGAGTGCCTTTTAGTATTGATACAAACACTGAAATAATGTTTTGCATAATATCTAATTTTCAAAACAATCACTTCAGCTGCATTTGTACTATATTCTGTTTATTTTGATAACTTTTTTTTTTCAATGAACATACTTGTGTGTATATATATAGATTCTGATATCTTTGAAGAAGATCCCATAATAATATGGCTTTACAGTTGTAACAAGTATTTTTTTTTTAAATAATACTTCATATCATATTTTTAAATATAATGTGTTCATTATAAACATAGTGACTATCACTGAGATGGACACCCAATTTAATAAATTATAGTAAGCATCTGAATCTAACCAGTTATTAATTATGCTGTTAATTATTGTGCCTTTAGCACCAACAGCAGGGGAAATTCTTATGTCACATACCACACTTTCACATAGTCTCCAGTTATTTTATTTATTTATGTATGTATTTATTTATTTAAATTAACTTGAACAAAACTGAAAATCTTTAACAAGAACATTGCCTTGTCAAATTAGAGCTGAACCCACTTTGCATTCAAGTCAAATTTCAATGTGCATAATGAAATGCTGTTTAGGGAAACTGCTGCTGAGAGTTTGTGCCATCTAGTGGTTTAGAGGAAAATCAAATCATATGTGACGTTTACCCCGGTTGTCCTGTTATACCATATATGTAAGATTCACCTGAGAGCAGCTGCAGGTTGGGCAGAGGCTCTGACAGAACTCCTCGGCACTGCTCCTCCACCGGCAGAGGAATCACCATTAAACCATCGGCCAGCTGCGGAAAATCCTTGATGAAGTTATTATCCCTGAAATTCAAATATAAATGAGAATAAAACATCAGATAGATATTAGATAGTTGTGTTGCTTTTGAATTTGGAATGGTGATACATATTTCTTATTAAAGTATCAAGTTGGCATGGAATATATAGAGGAGCTCTTCCATATTTTTAATAAGCATGCCTTTTTAAGACACAACTATGATTTACAACTAACTAGTCAGATGCAGGTTGTGAAGAGTAAGGAGCGTTCTCATTCTAGAGAGCATTTTACTGAAGAATAGCAGTGTGTGTGTGTGTGTGTGTGTGTGTGTGTAAGAAGTGATAAAAAAGGATAAACACAAATTATCTGTGATTCAATTAAAATGACAGCAGAGTAAATGCCAGCATATTGTTATCCTCCTGTAATGGTATTTAAGCAATGTCTCTGTGCGTGTCTTATTGTAGTTATATTATACACTCTTTACTCAGCCCGTATAACTGAGAGACGTTTTGAAAGTGTCTTGTGATTGTGCTGGGATTTCCATGTTCTTGACAATCTAATGAAGTGTTATTAGCCACCAATTAAAAACCCTCTTCAAACACTTCATCTCTTTAATTGAGCTTTCTCACTATGAAACATCAATAGCAAACAAAACTTTCATTAGCGTCAGTCTGTAAAAGACAGCTTTTATTGAATCATTCTCAAAACAGATAGTTCAGAAATTCCATAGCCACAGTAATATGCAGGGGTCACCGAGTCACTGGCCCTCCTGAAAACTGATTGGTCCCCGGTGAGCCCCTACCATTCATTCTTATCACTCACTAAATTATTTATTTTTGAAAAATTCATTGTCATTTGAAAAATTAACATTTCACTGATGCTTTAGAAGAGCTGAGAGACAGAACAGAGTGCAGCCAGAAAGTTGTCTATTTTTTTATCTTGTCAGTTTTTGCTATATTGTCTTTCAGCTCTTTTGCTGAATGTTACCGATTCAGATATTACAATCTATAACTTTTAATATTTTAATCTATAACTGTTGCTGAATATTATAGATTATATAAATCAGGGTTTTAACTTTTTTTTCAGTAAATTACATTTCACTTTAAAACCTTAAGTGTTTCTGATCTACTCAACACACAGTTGAAATGTATGTGCACACACACACACACACACTTAAATTGTGTTGTGCAGATCAGACACATCTTCTTTTATTAGAAAATTAAACAACATTTTATCAAAATTGCATAATATTTTAAACAACTGAGAAGATCAAACTACATTTTATATATATATATAAAAAAATCACCTGTCAAGTTCCCAAATCTATTAGAATCAGACTGGACTACAGGGACTCATCTCAAGATCGCTCATTTAATATGTCATCTATTAGTAAAATTCTGAAAATGAATGAAGCCCCTATACTAATTTACTGGTACTTACTTCAGTATCACTAATTTTCTGTGCTTCCATGAATTATTTTCTAATAGTAAAATGGTTAAATGGAAATTCATCACCTCATCAACTTTCAGGAGCTGATACTGCTTCTGCTGATGGTACTGTATGTCTGTTTTCATTATTAATGTAACATTACTTACAGATGTCTTCAAAAACCTGTTGCTAATTGTGTGTCATTATGACAATGCAGGACCATAAAGTACAACTGAATGCACAACTGATTCCCATTTTTTATGCTTCTTCCCAGACATTTCTCAAACCAGAACTGAGGCACAAGTCCAGCCTCTTAACAAGGCTTTCCCCAAGACACAAACAGGCGTCAGGAAGAAAACGTTCATTATTTTTGGCATAAGAACAATGTATAGATTGATGACTCAGCTTTTAGATATGCTTGTGCTTCTGTTGAGAGCCACACAGAATATGTCTCAGGGTGGTTGTAAACAATCTGAGGTAGCAAACAACAAATATAACTTCATTGCTATTTTGCAAGCGAATGGGTTTTTGATATACACTAGCAGTGGGATCCAGAATGAAATATTGATTTTTTTTGGCAGAAATGGTACAGACTGAAATCATAAAAGAGTTTAAAAGTGAAATGTTGAGTTGATGAAACCAAATATCTAAGGGAAAAAGAGCAGATTTCTTTAGACCAGTGATGTCAAACTCAGTTCCTGGAGGGCCACAGCCCTGCAGAGTTTAGTTCCAACTCTGCTCAACCATGTACTTTTTAAATAAGCCTAAAGGACCTGATTAGCTGGATCAGGTGTGTTTAATTAGGGTTGGAGCTAAACTCTGCAGGGCTGCGGCCCTCCAGGAATTGAGTTTGACACCCCTGCTTTAAGCCCAAAACCCACTGCACGATTTTAGCAATCCGATAAGATCACTGCATGTCACACCGTGTGACATGGATCTAATAAACTTGGCTACGACCTGTGTGTAGACTGTGTGATGATGAGACCTATAGACTCGTACGCTACGACGAATGTTTCTATAGAAGAATAAAACGTCATCAGCATGCGCTAGTGGTAAACAAAAAGAGCATGATAAATCACACTTTAGCAGTTGTCTTTTTATGTGTGCTGAAAGAAAAGTGGAAGTGGCGAAAGAGGAAGGGATAAGAGCTTGAGGTAAGCAGTTTTATGTTTTAGCACCATGTCGCGTTGATTTCATGTCGCATTTTTATTGGTTAGTCAGTAAATGTGGATCGTAGCAGCAAACACACTGTGCCAGTGTTGCCAATTTAGCTACTTTGTAGCTAGATTTAGCGACTTCTCCGCCCCTTTTGAGGCCTTTTTCAAAAGTTTAGGGACAAATATAGCAACTTCTTGGACAAACCGTATCTCATCTTGCCGACTGATCTACATTTACCTTTATATAGATCAGTGAATTTGCCATTATGCTGTCATCTAGTGACATTTAGCTACCAGTTTTAGCTACTTTCAGTTGAAAGCAGTTGGCAACACTGCACTGTGCGATGATCATGCTGTATCGTAGGCTATCTTTGGTCGCAAGACCATGACAACGGCCATCTTTGAACCTCGCTCAATGGCATAAATGCCACCAACATAAACAAAAATTCAAACTATGCCCCTACACAATTAAACTAAATCTATTTTGACTGTTGCAATTAAAATGAAATGTGGAAATGAATGAAAAGTTCAGTGATTGTACAGGGAGTTTTTAGTGCAGGACTCATGCTAGACTGAAGTTTTTGACTGCTTCAGTGATTGTGATTTTGTTTTTCTGCTACTAAAATAACCAATGTGAAGTCTTGATTTTCTAATGGTTAAAAAGCAATAAACTAATTTATAAACAGTTCTTAGCTTGTTTGTCTCTGTAGCGTACAATAATATTAAATGATGTTTCACCAAACACAAAAACTATTTTTAAAAATGTATTATATTAATTAACTTTAATGTTCATTATTATTAATGCAATAAAAAAGAGGAACAATTGACAATAATGAATTTTGGAATACATTTTATAAATTAAATACATTATGTAGGCTATTTACAATTATGCTTTTTTTGGTATAAATACATGTATGCTATCGGTATCACTTTATTTTGATAGTTCAATTTAGATATTATACTAATTGTAAGTAACTTTGTAACTACATGTAAACTAGCAGTAATGACTATAAGTAACTTTGCAAGTACATGTCAACTATGCAAGTTAGTTGACATGTAGTTGCAAAGTTATCTATAGTTAGTCAAATGTCTAAAATGGACTATCAAAATAAAGTGTAACCATGCCTTCTTTGAGCAACATTAAACAGACTGTAAATAAACAAATGCCAGATGCAGCTGTTCTACCTTTGCATTGTAAAAATGGCTTTTGTTGATATTAATACAATATTGTATATAGTATTCTGGTTGATTGAGGTATTTGGTAAAATTTACGTATTCAACATAAACTAAAACATATTGCCCCTTTTATTGGAAAAGTTCATTCCTGGCCCTGTTACCCAGCCTGTCGCCATCTGACAGATGGGCTCCCAGCAGTACTTCATCATCTTCATGAGACTGTGGAGATTTTCAGTAGAAGAACAAGGCTTACTAGCACTACCTAATCAAGCTTTCATTGGTCTTCTGGTAACCTTCAACAAAATACTTCTACATTTCTAAATTCATGCTTCATTTGCCTTCATTGGACTTCATCTTGTTGAAGCATTGCTTGACCTACATGGATGAGTCTTTTTGAGGACATGTGGGAAAAAGGTAGAATAAATGTAAAATGCCAAGTCAGTTTGGAAAAAGAGAGAGCAAAACCTGATCAGCAGTTATGTGGATCCATAATTACTTCCTTAGCTGGCGCACGTCAAGAGAACTTGGGTGACAAGGAAGCCTCAAAGAAGACACATATTATATCCAGTGATTGACTTATTCATGGATGAGCCGCACAGACGTTTCTCTAACAGAAATGGTGAAATGATGTACAGAATCCAAGCACTTTACTCTAAACGCAGACTTTCTCACATGCAAAACCAAATACTGAAGAGCCAAATATTGAAGATTTGAAAAACATGTTCATATCAGACCAAAAGGGGTTTGAACAGGAAAGGGAACAAAGACTTCTCTCACTTAATTTGTAGTAGTTCATGTGTTTTTCAGGCTGTATAAGATTGCCATTGTGAAACTTGTTAGTAGTGCTGCATGTGAATGTAGCTGATCAAAACTCATATAAGAACAACAAAATGGAGAAAACGACCGAGTCATGTTAATTGGTTTTGATTTGGATCCAGACAACTTAAGAGCACAAGAAAATAGGGTTCAGCAACAAATAAAATATCAGAAAATACATTTTCGACTACCTCTGGAAGTGGAAGAAGCAGACAAGCACAACATGTTTTAAACTCAGTTTACACCTGCATTTGGCGTGGTCCACTTGTGATCGATTCAATTAAAAATGATGTGAAGTTAAAAGCTGCTCAGCTTTTCAAAATGCATCTTGAGACTCCTGTGTTTTGTTTCACTCCACTGCGCTGGTGTTTTTTTTTACTGAATCTCACTTATGGATAAAGTCATGATCCTCGTTCCAAGCATGATGCTATTTTCCCAAAGAGTCTCCAGGATGAAATGTGTAAACTTCA